GGGATTCTCCAAGCCCCAGCTCTGGCTATCCATGGCAGTGCAAGGCCAGGTTTCCCTGGCTGCACACTGCCGTGGGCGGCTAAGATTCTCCAGCCTCCAGCTCTGGCAGCTGTGGGTGACCAGGTTTCTTCACCTCCAGACCCACACTGCCACCTGCTGCTGGGCTTCTCTGGCACCCAGTTCCATGCTGCCATGGGTGGATGGGGTTCTCCAGTCCCTGGCTCCACACTTCTGCAGGTGGCCAAGGTTCCCTAGCTCCACATTGTTGCGGGTTGCCGGGGTTCTATGCCCCGGTGCCAGCTCCAGCACTGGTGTGGAGCTCCTCCAACCCCAGGCCTGACCAGGCTACTGGCCGTCCTGCCATTAGGCTCCCAGGCTCTTTGGTTCAGGAGCAACTGTGGTCCTGCTGGACCACAGATGTTGCCAGACCAGAGAGTACTGCATTTTAGAGGTGCAAGCTATACTGGTACCCTTGTTTATTCTTAATCTACCAGGAGTTGGCTTGCTCAGTTTAATTTCCTCGTAGCCAGTGCTTTTGCTCTTCCTGAATCTAGACTTAACTAGAAAGGGCAGCAGGGACTACAGGGAAGGCAGAAGTGGGAATTCTGAAACAATAGAGACGAATCAAAGATCTTTGCTTAGGAAAAAAAGGGGGAGAGAGCATTATACAGACAGAATTTTAAAAAAAGCACCCCAGCCATGGTAATTCAGAACTGCGGTCATCTGAAGCTCATGATACCATCTACATATTTAGTTAGTCTATAAAGTGCTACCAGACCATTTGTTTTTTTTTCTATACAGACTAACTCGGTTACCCCCTGAAGGTTCAAGAAATATCAAAATGTTACATTAATGTTGAGTAGGGATGTAAAATCTCATTTAATTAGGTAACTGGTTAAACTTTGTTTAACCAGTTAACTGATTAAATGGGGTCGGGCAGGAGGGCTGCTCCTGAGGGACAACTGGGGCAGCATTTTGCTTGAGGTGGGCCCGACCAGTCAACTTTAGCCAGTAAGCCTTAACCATTAAGGGTGAGGCTTACCAGTTAACCTTTCTCATCCCTAGACTGAGGATATTAACTGTATTATTAATCAATCTATAACTGGAGTTGTGAAATTGGTGTGGAGGAGGCTTTTGTTACTTGTGGTCAGAACTCATGCCCTTCTTTGGATGCTGCTAACCCATCCCTGCCGGTTTTGCCATGTCTCTGGATCATAAAGATTCTTTTGAAGAGGGGTTATGGTGATGGTATTGTTTTGGGAGATTTGTGTGTTCAAAAATGCTTCCCGATAACCCTATTCTGAAAGGATTTTACCTTGCATAATGCTATTCCACTGCAACAGTTACATTCAGCTTCCTGGGGAGGCGACTTGGCTGCAGCAAGCCAAGGAAACTTCCTCTCTGGGAGCTGGATGGGCAAGGACTACCAGCTTTGCTGCCCGGGAGGCTTTGCTGCAGGCTCTGTAGCATAAAGACAATCTTAGCTTTATATTGCAGAACCCATAGCACGTGAAACTGTATCAAAGTCAGCAAGGGTGGGGAGGAGCAGGAGCCAGTGCTGGGGGGAGCCGGCTCAAAAGCCGGTCTCTAAGCATAGCCTCCTGATCCTGCCCTATGTAAATTGTTATATGGTTAGTTAGCCCTAACATTTGTAATCAGTTTCAATGTAGATTTAATATTTTAACTGTTGTGTGTGTTTGGCTATATATATATATATATATATATATAGCCAAACACACACAACAGTTAAAATATTAAATCTACATTGAAACTGATTACAAATGTTAGGGCTAACTAACCATATAACAATTTACATAGGGCAGGATCAGGAGGCTATGCTTAGAGAGGTAGTGGGGGCGGAGGGAGATCACAGGGGAGAGAGGGACCTCACCACTCTGTGGCCCTCACACTGATTAGGGTTCCCAGATGGTGATGGGAGCCGGGGGTTCAGAGGGCAGGAGACGAGCAGAGCCCCCAGCACATCAGACAGGAAATGAAGTCTCAATGGGTATGTCTACACTACCACCCTAGTTCGAACTAGGGTGGTTAATGTAGGCAACCGGAGTTGAAAATGAAGCCTGGGATTTGAATTTCCTGGACTTCATTTGCATATTGCCGGGCGCCGCCATTTTTAAATGTCCGCTAGTTCGGACTCCGTGCCCGCGGCTATACGCGGCACGAACTAGGTAGTTCGGATTAGGCTTCCTATTCCGAACTACCGGTACACCTCGTAATGATCTGGGGCTACTCCATTCCAGCTTGTACTGGGTCTGGAACCTATCCCTGCTGTGGCTCTTCAGTTTAAATGTAGTAGGAGCCAGGCTGCATGTATCGGAAAAATTGTATTGACTACACAATTAGTCAATTACCTGCTTCTCAGCATCCTTCATCTGAGCAACTATTTGAGGCTTGGCTCCCTGCATGTATTCTCACGAAAGCTTAGGAGAAAGGTCTCCACTATGATCTCAAGGTACTCCAATATAGCTCTTTCAATTTGCTTTTTTATTTCTCTGGGTGGGTAGTTGAGGTTTATAAATGCTTGGTAGAGATCCTGAAGTTTCTGGTCTCTGTCAGTGGGATTAGAGCAGATGCGGTTGTATCGAAGGGCTTGGCTATAGATGATGGATCGTATGGTGTGTTCTGGATGGGAGCTGGAAGCATGTAGGTAACTGTATGAGTCAGTGGGTTTTCTGTAGAGAGTGGTGTCTAATTTTGCATTGCTGATTTGTACTGTGGTGTCCAGGAAATGGATCCAGGCTGTGATTGATGGTGGGGTGTAGGTTGTTAAAATCTCTGTGGAATGTCTCCAGTGTTTCTTGGCCATGCGTCCAGATCATAAAGATGTCATCAATGTAGCGTAAGTAGAGAAGGGATAAAAGGGGACAGGAGTTGAGGAAACATTGTTCTAGGTCGGCCATAAAGATATTAGCATACTGTGGGGCCATGCGTGTACCCATGGCTGTGCCGCTGATCTGGAGGTATAAGTTGTTCTTAAACTGGAAATAATTTTGGGTGAGAACAAAGTTACATAGGTCTGCTATCAGACTGGCAGTGGTGTCCTCTGGGATATGTAATCCGTCTTCATGTGGGATGTTGGTGTATAGAGCTTCTACATCCATGGTGGCAAGGATGGTGTTATTGGGGAGGTTATCAATGTTTTGTAGTTTCCTTAGGAAGTCAGTAGTATCTCGGAGATAGCTGGGCATGTTAGTTGTGTAGGGTTTGAGAAGAGAGTCTACATAGCTGGATAAACTAGTAGTGAGTGTGCCGATACCAGAGACGATGGGGTGTCCAGGTTTATGGATTTTGGGAAGCAGATAGAACAATCCTGGTCGGGGGTCAGAAGGTGTTTCTTTGTGGATTTGTTCCCGAGTAGCTGTAGGGAGGCTTTTAAAGAGACAGTGTAGTTTCTTTTGGTATTCCGAGGTGGGATCAGAGGAGAGAGGTTTGTAAAATGCGGTGTTGGAGAGTTGTCTGGTTGCCTCCTGGTTATAGTTGGCCTTATTCATAATGACCACAGCACCCCCTTTGTCAGCTGGCTTGATTATAATGCCCGGGTTGTTTTTGAGACTCTGGATGGCATAGTGTTCAGCGTGGCTGAGATTGTGTCGCTTGGTGTTGTTTGCGAATAATGTCAGTCTGTGTGTTGCGGAAGCTTTGTATATAGAAATCCAGATTGTAATTCCGACCGTCAGGGGGAGTCCATATAGAATTATTTTTCCTTTGGTGTTGATAGGGGGGATCTGGTAGGTCAGATTGATGTTCAGTGGTGGTTTGGAAATATTCTCGGAGGCGGAGGCGGCAAAAAAAAGCCTCAAGGTCACCACAAAATTGTATCCAATTTGTGGGGGATGTGGGGCAAAAAGAGAGACCCCGGGATAAGGCAGACTCTTCTGCTGGATTGAGTTTGTAGGTGGAGAGGTTAACAATATTATCCGGTGGGTTGAGGTAGTTGCTGTTGTAGCATGTGGTGTGGAGCCATTTAGAAAGTTTGTCTTTTCTTTGTTGAAGGGAATAGAAGTAATTACACTAAAGTAATGGTAAAGAGCTAGGGCCTTGACAGCCTGCCCTTTTTGGGTTGTCAGTGACCCCCCCCCCCGAATGAATTCTTCACAGTGTGAAGAAAAAGTACCTTACCACACATGCTTCTGTTAAGCTATGACCCCACCTGGGACCATAATATGGGCTCACAGATTAATATAGGGAAATGGTCCCATTGAATAGGTGGATCAGCAACGAGACTTCTCTTCCTCCTGGGAGATGCTTCCAGTTCACCTGAGAATCTTTGGCCTTCTGTCAAGCCTCTCACCAGGAGCTGAAGACTGGAGTTCTGTTCTCCTTTCTGGTTGTCCACTAACAATATTATATCTTTCCCTTTTTGGGTTCCTACAAATTAAGGATGTTAACTAATCAGTAATTTACTAGTCAGATAGTTGGTGGAAAGTCCATCAACTACTCGACTAGTTGATAGGCACTTCTATGTTCCTCCTTTGAAATGTACAAGAGCCCTAGCCCTCCTTGTACGTTTCAAAGGAGGAATGCGGAACTCTGCATGCAGCTTGGGGCCAGCAGGAAATCTCGCTGACTCCAGGCTCCAGGAGGGCACTTATCCTTTGAAATGCACAAGAGCCCCACAGTGTTTCAAAGCAGCAGCGCTGCACGGAACCTGAGTACAGGATCCGTGTGATGCTGCTGCTTTGAAGTAACCCCCCCTCCCAGCACCTTTGCTGCCTCTGTCTGATAGAGTCAGCGGGGTGGGGGTAGGGCGGACAGGGAAATCAACTAGTTGACTCGATTATACGATAATCATTTGCTCATTGGAGAGTTGACTAGTCCTTAACATCTCTAAAGGTCAGATGCTTAAAGGTCAGATGTGATGGGGCAGCTTACACTCATATTAGCTCATTAACCTTGTGTTACCCAAAGAGGGATTTGTTATACCCCATCACAGTTCATAATTATGGATTTTTTTTATTAGCTATAGCTTTCCTTCTAGACTTTCTTCTTGAATGCTTCAAGTTTCTTCAGATCTTTTACCAGAGGGGAGAGTCCTCACAGAGAACTATTCTTGCCTCTTAGGCTCTTCTCTTTCACATGGTTTTCATGTTTTAAGATTTGATTTATTTGATCATTACTGTAATGAGCCTTTTTAAATTGAGATTTCCAGATATTATAAACAACTCATTGTTCAGTTGCATGGTTGTGACATAAGCAGTAAATTACATAGATGATTTAATTTATTATTTTACTTTAATCTTTGTACGTGTTTTGAAAATAAACTGCATTCAGACTGGACAAGCAAACACCTTTCCCAAGATTCCAAAAACAAGTGCATACACGGTAAAATGAAATCTCATCTCTTTCCTGGGATTAGTTTGTATTCAAAAAGGAATTCACACTGAGAGTTTTTCTCCAGATGGATTCTCTTAGGGGTCCTACCTCAGAACATGTGTGTGCCATCTCACCCACATGTGTGTGCCATCTCTTTGCTTAGAAGGGAATGTCTTCATTGCAGAGTTAACTTGGGTGATCAGCAGCTGGGTCTGAGCATCTGGATTACTACAGCTTGCATGTGAGCAGCCACTGCAAAACCACATTAGAGTTATTGTGTCCTGACTGGTGCTTAATCTGTTTTTTGTGCTGCAGTATGATGAGCTGCTCTGTTTGTTTGTTTGTTTGTTTGTTTGTTTGTTTCCCAGTGAAGTGTGGGAAAACTTGTCTTCTAGGAACACCAGAGAAGGATTTGGGAAATCACTGGAGGACTATCAGAATTGAAATGACTTGCCATGCATCCTCACTACAAAGAGAGTTTTATCAACTCATGTGAAATCCTTACTTGGGTTTTAGACAATAGCTCCAGGTGAGCCAGGTAACTAGAGTTGAAAGCATTACTAACCTAGAAAGAGGGTTTTGAATGTCAATGAGAAGGATCTGAAGGATAATATCCAAGAAGGAGCCCTAATTATCTCTTCAGTGAAGATGTAACCTAACAGATTCCGATGAGTGACAACCCACCTGATTCAATGAGAAAGCACAATCTACTTAAACTTTTCCTCACAAGGTCAACATCTAATATGTAGAAGTGTTTAGGCATACCTTGCCAGCCTTATAGATTCATATGTGTACCCACATATTAAGTAGTATAGAAAGACACAGGTTGAAAACAATACATATAAAATTGCATAATATTTAGAAGTTATTTAGAAGTTTTTTGAAAGTTTTATCTTTAATGTTCTTTAGGTTTCCTCCTTCCTCACCACTGAAGCCATATCCAGCAAGGCCTCCATATAGAAAGGAAGTGATTAAATTTCCAGACTGGAATGTTCCTGAAGCTGGCACTTCTCAAGAACACATACCAGTGAAGCCTCTCATGATGGTAAGATTTCTTGTTTACAAGTTTCTAAAATATTTGGTATTCTTCTTTGAGTGGCCCCGTTGGTGCTCCACTCTAGGTGTCTGGTCCCATCCCGCTGCCGCAAATCGGAGAGCTATCAGAGCCGTGGTTTGCCAGACTGTGCGTGCATGGCTGCCAGAGGCGGTGTTCGCGCCTTTGATGTGTTGCACATGGTCCAGCTTGCTCAGTTCCCCTCAGCCGCCCTTGGTCGCGGACGAGAGCTCCTTCTTGTCAGTTTCATTTCCAGCGATTTTTCTCTCAGAGCCTTCACATTTGTAAATAGTTTCAGAACTCTATCCTTCCTTACTTTGTTAAATTTACCAGTTCTTAAAAAAAAAAAAAGCAAAAAACAAATTTTTGTACAGACTTGGACAGTATCTGTGGCTATTTGAGTTTTCAAAAAAAAAAAAAAAAAAAAAAAAACCACAGCCTGAGTCTCAGTGCAGCAAGTTAGGGGGATGAGCGTAGGAGAGATTGTACATAGTCAATTTCTCTCTCCCCGCTGTTTCAGTATGCCGGTGTCCCCCGGTTTCAAGAAGTGCTCAGTCTGCCGGGAATCCATGCCGGCATCTGACGGGCATGATTTTTGTGTCAGGTGCTTGGGTGAGATGCATGTCCCCCAAAAATGCACCCACTGCAGCAAACTAACGGCGAGGGCACGAAAGGATCGAGACTTGCGCCTGAAGCTGATTCTTTATGGAAAGGTGCTAGAGTCTGATGCCATCCCTGCCTCTGGCACAGCAGCCCAGAAACGCCGGGCAAAAGACTAAGGCGTCCCCAGCTCGATCGCTGCCAGCCACCACCAAAATGCGATGCCCTGACAAGGCATCCGGGACAGATGCCCCAGGACAGCAACAGGCTCCTAGAGTGAGGAGATTGCCTGAGCCGGGATTGCAAGGGACAGGAGCACCGGCTCCAACAACTGCGCAGAAGTCAGCATTGGCAGGAGTGCGAAAGCCAGCCCTGCCAACGGCTGCCCAAGCGGCGCCAGCTGCGGCCTTTTTAAACCCCTCGGTGCCGAGCTGCCAAGTCTCCCGGGCGGCACTGCTGGCAGTGTCCGATCTGCTGGCACCGAGATCTTCCTCGGCACCGCCAACGCCACCCCCATGTGGAGATACAGCGGCACTGCAGCCACGTTTGGCACCGAGCTCTCCACCAGCAGATGAAATTGACAAGGCTTCACTGCCTTGCAAAGCTGCGGGAAAATAAACTTACAGGGTGCTTTCCCTGTCGCCTACCTTCTCTCCAGGACCATCTCCTTCTCCACCCAGGTACTGAAGGCACTGGGACTATAGCCTTTCTCCATCTTACCAAGTGCTTAGAAGATCTTCCCATGGGGACACGGTCTATATAGAAACAAGACGCTCCCCATCGCGTTCTCGATCCCCCAGGAGGTCACCAAGGCATAGACCACCTAGGCGGTTGCCGTGGCGGGTCTACTACATCCGCAGTTCAAGATCCTCCAGATACACCTCGCCAGCACGATCTGACCATTACTATGGGTGCTACCATAGGGCTGAATATGACTGCCCCCAACCTGGACACGCTACCCTATCTTATAGGGGTTCTTCATGTATCTGTCCATCACCCGGTGTGCAACACTCACTTGAGCATCCACAGCAATTGTTTTCATCGCCTCTGTCAGAAAACTTAACCATCTATCAGGATCGCTCGGAACCAGAAGAGGGCCAACTGTCCGAGGCAGAAGATCCTCAGCCACACATTTCTCCAGCTGACTGTTCCTCGTCATCACTGAATGAAGCAATGGTTCCAGATGACACATCTCCCTTGGATGACCTGAAGCAGTTCCAGGATCTATTCAAAAGGGTTGCAAACACACAAGAAATACAATTAACGGACGTTCCCATGAAGAAACATCTTTTGAAGAATTTGCGGCAGCAACAACGGGCAAAAATCGCCCTCCCTATCGATGAGGCCATCATGGAAGTGGCAGATGAAATATGGCAGACTCCTACATCGACTGCCCCAACTAGTAAGAGGGTTGATAGGAAGTATTTTGTACCCGCTAAAGGACTGGATTTCCTTTTCAACCACCCTCAACCCAGTTGATGCGGTACAGCGGAGGTTTAAGGCTCCTCAATATAAGAATACAATCCAAGACAAGGATAATAAAAAATTGGACGTTTTTGGAAGAAAGGTTTACTCTTCGGCTAAGTTATTGTTACGAATCGCAAACTATATGGCCCACCTTTCTAACCACAATTTTGATAACTACTCAAAGCTTACAGAGCTACTACAATATCTTCCTGATGCCAAGAAACCCTTACTGAAGGCCATAGTCCAAGAAGGATATATAGCCTGTAATACTACTTTGCAGATGGCCAACACGGCTGCACGGGCCATGGCTACGGGGGTCGCGATGAGGCAGTCTTCCTGGTTATCATTCACCGGAACCACATGGGAGCTTCAGAATAAAGTTGAAGACCTACCCTTTGATAAACAAAAGCTCTTCGCTAGTAACACTGACGAAGTTCTTCATTCTGGCAAAGACTCACTTCACGTACCTTGGGAATGTACACACCTCGCTATAAACATAAGCACTACTATCCTTACCAACGGAGGTATGATTGATTCTTATTGAACGCACAATCACGTCCCCAAGACAATCAGCGCTTCCAGCAGCATCCTCAACGTAAGAGATCTCGAATCGTTCATCCAATCAACCTGCACCTAAGCAGCAAATTTGACGTTCCCGTCGAGGACGCAAGAACGACTCCCACGTTCAACGTACCACAGAACTCTTTACACCTGTTTCACCATGGCTTAAAATAGTACCTCCTTCATTGGTCCAATGTCACCGCGGACAAGTGGATACTGGAGGTGGAATAATCTGGTCTCTCCATCCCCTTTCTATCCATTCCCCGCACAACCCCTCCAACCCCATCCCTTTTCAGGGACCCCCCTCATGAGCATTTGCTGAAGCAAGAAGTTCAGCGCCTTCTGAATATCGGTGCAATAGAGAGGGGTACCAAGTCAGTTTCGGGGGAAAGGATTTTTATTCCCGGTACTTCCTTACCCCAAAGAAGACAGGAGGATGGAGACCCATTTTGGACCTACACAAGTTAAACCGCTACCTCGGGAAACATCGCTTCAAGATGGTGACCCTAAATGCCATCATTCCGTCATTGAACAAGGGGGGACTGGTTTGCAGTCCTTGACCTGCAAGATGCCTACATCCATGAGGCACACAGGCATTTTCTCTGTTTCTAGCTAGGTCAAGAACATTTCCAGTACAGAGTACTACCTTTCGGCTTGGCATGCGCACCCAGAGTCTTCACCAAAACCTTAACGGTAGTGGCTGCCCACTTGTGCAGACTGGGAGTGACAATTTTCCCATACTTGGACGATTGCCTCATAAGAGGCAATAACATATTCAGAGGCCAAACACATGGTGACAACAGCCTCTCAGATTTTTCACTTTCTGGGTCTACTCGTAAACATGCAGAAATCCTCGCCAGAACCTACACAAGATCTGATCTTCATAGGGGCAAGGTTTGACTTGAGAACAGCGCGTGCTTACTTACCTGCCGAATGTTTTGCCACCATTCGAGATCTTGTTCACATCCTGACGTATGCCCTGACGATTCCCGTCAGTGTTACAACTACTGGGACACATGGCTGCCTCAACAACTATTGTTCAAACCGCAAGGTTACATTTTTGCTGCCTTCAACACTGGCTGACTATAGTATACACTCCGGTGAAGGACAACATTCACAAGGTGGTAGTGATACCATCACATATACAACAATCCCTGCAGTGGTGGACCAAGTCGCCCAATCTTATGGTGAGCATTCCTTTTCACCATCCACAACCGTCAAAGCAAATAACAATGGATGCGTCCCTTACTGGCTGGGGAGTGCATATGGATGACATGACGGTTCAAGGTCGCTGGTCTCTGCAGGAGATGCTCTTACATATCAACATTCTCGAGTTAAAAGCAGTGCGTCATGCATGTCAGCATTTTCAGTCCCATATAAGGAACATGACCGTCAGAATCCTTACGGAGAATATTGCCACCATGTACTACGTAAACAGACAGGGAGGGGCTCGATCCCGATCCCTCTGTATAGAAGCGATGCACTTGTGGAACTGGTCTATCCGCATCAATACCGTCCTGACAGCCACCTATTTGCTGGGCATCCAGAATACTATTGCGGACTCGCTCAGTGGGCTGTTTCCCCACGACCACGAGTGGGAACTTCGCACGGACATTCTGCATGGTATTTTCGCCCAATGGGGGTTCCCCTCAATAGATCTGTTTGCTACTGCTGCCAATGCCAAGTGTCCCAATTATTGCTCCAGGGCAGGGATTGGACGCCACTCCTTGGGAGATGCTTTTCTTCACAATTGGGGAACGTCACTACTATACGCCTTTTCCCCCGATCGTCCTAGTTCCCAGAATCCTGGAAAAGATGACTATAGAAAGGGCTCGAGTAATCTTCATAGCCCCAGATTGGCCACGGCAGCCTTGGTATTCAATACTCCACCAGATGTCCATCAGGACACTGTACACCCTTCCTCTGCTTCCGGACCTCTTGACTCAGGACAACGGCTCCCTTTCTCATCCGAAACCTGAAACATTACACCTCACAGCGTGGTTGCTCGCTGTTTCAGTCCGGTTGAATGCTCACGCTTACAGAGAGTCAAGCAAGTATTAGTACAAAGCAGAAAAGACTCTACTCGAAAGACCTACCTCGCAAAGTGTGCCAGATTTGAAGCGTGGTGTGGCAGTGATGGCAGGGATGCTCACATTGCAGGAATATCCCAGATACTTGATTACATTTTGTACCTCCACAACACGGGCCTTGCAAAAGCCTTGCTGCGAGTGCATGTAACAGCAATTAGTGCTTTTCATCGGGGTCAGGATGGGTTCTCTGTATTTGCTCATCCCATCACAAAGAGGTTTCTGAAGGGACTCACGAAACTCAACCCACCACGACGACCACCACCACCACCTTCT